CTTCCTACTTTACCTGCTATTAATAGAGTGATATGAACTAAGACCATTGTGAAATTAAAAGAGTATGAATAGGAAAAAATGCTACAAGAGATATTTTGATAAGTTGATCCAACTTTTTACTCAACAAAAATGATAAAAACACCTTACCAGTTGAAAGAAATTTTATAATTTTATTGATTGAAACTTAAATAATTATAATTAAAAATTGAAGGTCTATTTATAGAGTAGGCTATGTGCCATACAAGGAAAAATAGATTTCCTCAATTAATTATAAGAAATTATATAGGAAATTAAATATAAACTTAAATGAAAAATACAAAGAATTAAGAGGATTCTAATTAAAATAAGGTAGATATGATTTGCCATCTTTTAAATGGGAAAGATCTTAATTAATTATGGAGATGATTGAGGGAAGAATTAAGAAAGATTTTGACCAATTTAGGAAATGATTAATTGCTTTCATAATCTCCCCAAAATCCATGAGATTTCAATCTCCCATTAAGACACGAGATTTGATATCCTCTTTTTGATTTCTTATGCAATTTAGGAAGAAAATCCCCCCCTTGGCTGACTCTCTCTTTAAGAAAGAAGATTGTTGGTAGGTTTCGGAGAAGAAATCCCTTATGGGATCTTCCTTTTCCACTTGGATTGAGGTGTATGTATCATCATGCCCTTGGATTGATGAACTTTCTTCTTTTGTTGGACTTCTTTTAATGATTCAAACCCATCCCCCTTATTGACCCATTTTTGGATGAAGAGTTGAAAAACTTGTTATTATCTTTTTTATTTTCCTTTTTGTAATGGGTCCACTTAATATTATAATATTTTCATGGTTCATGCTCACATTACTAGCAGTGATGGTCCAAGAGAGAGAGATGCGACTAGAGCCACCTTATTTTCAACATCATTGTATAAGTCATGATGGAGTTGACACCAGTAATATTGAAAAGTTCAAGAGACTCAATCTCCCTGCATTCAATAAGGGTTTCGATCCGTTGTTGGCGGAGTACTGGATCAAAAGAAAACTGAGAAAACTGTTTGGAAGTGGAATTCTCGAATCTCTGTCAAGGGAGACTATCAGTGGTGGAATATGTAGAAAAGTTCATAGACTTGAGACGCTTCGACCCTAATGTGATGATGAACAAACTGAAGAAAGGCCGAAGATTCGAGAAATGATTGAGAACAGAATTGTATCATCAGGTAACTATGTTTGCTCTATCAACTTATCAAGCAATGCTAGAGAAGATTCAGTTGGTAGAGACATTGTACAGAGAGCACGCTGAGTATAGGAAAGGGTTTCCTAGCCACAAGAGACCACAATCATTGCCTAGCCAACTCGACAAATAATAGAAGACAGTTCATAATCTAGCTCTGAGTCATCAGACCTCTGTGAAGAATCCATATTATACGCGCTGTCGTAGGAGCCATGGGGACCGCCCATGCACTATTCCTAGTCGTGGATGTTACAAGTGTGGCAGCACCCAATATTCTGTGAGCAACTATCTAAAACTTAGACAGTTGAGAGACCCATGGTCCAAGGCAGAGTATTCGCCATTACAGCCCAAGATGCGTAGGCAACACTAGACATTATACAAGATACGTTTTCTACCTCTAACTATCATGCTAGAGTTTTAATTGATCAATGAGCTATACATTTGTTTACTTCACACACATTTATATCTAGTTTAACCAGCCTCACTAGATTGTATGTTAATGGTATCTACACCGACAAGCGACGCGTTATGTACTGATGTAATATATAAATTATGTGTGGTAAAAATTACGGGTAGGGAATTAGAGGTAGACCTGATACCATTAGATATTAGAGATTTTGACGTAATTTTAGGCGTGAACTGATTGACTGCATATTATGCTAATGTAGACTATTTTAGTGAGGAAGTTGTATTTAAAATTCCCAATAAGGAACCGTTTGCCATTTGATAGCAGGTATGAAAGCATGATTAACATATGAATGTGTATCAGATACTTGAATTGTCCTTAGTATTCTCTATTTCATTTCGTATACATACATGAATTACCCTTATGATTGTTAAATTGGTACTTAATCTCCCTATGCTTGTGGTTTCACAAAGACAATTTTGTTTTGTATATCACTTTGTTAGGGAACAAGAATAAAGGAATTGCGCTTCAGGAGATACCTGTGATAAAAGATTTTCCTAATATTTTTCTAGAAGACCTCCTCGGTCTGCCACCACATCAAGAGGTTGAATTCACCATCAAGTTGCAACCTAGAATGCAACCCATCTTGAAAACCCCTTACAGGATGGCAAGGACTGAACTGGAGGAACTAAATAAGCATCTACAAGAATTATTAGACAAGAAATTCATTAGGCTAAGTGTGTTGCTGTGAGGTGTGTCGGTTCTATTTGTAAAGAAAAAGGATGAGATAATGTGGATATGTATTGATTACAGGGATCTAAATCAAGTCACAATTAAGAACAAATATTTATTTCCGAGAATAGATGACCTCTTTGATCAGTTGTAAAGAGTCTAAGTATTTTAAAAAATAGACTTATGTTTCAT